CGATCGCTCGCCACCACCGCTGGCACCGGCTGTGCCCACAGCGCCCGACGTCTCACTACCGCCGGCGATCTCTTCGGCCAAATCGGCGTCCAATTCCTCCTCGTCTTCGCCGGCGAGTCGATGAGCTCTGGCCACGAAATACGGCGGCAGTTCACCCAACGCTGTGCCCGCGCCCCACATGAACGCCTCCAGACGTACTTTCGACATAATAGACCAGACGGTGATCGCAACGGCCGTCACGGGATGTACGCCAGGGGTGGGCACCGGGCATATGATTCTGTGTGTGAAAACATAGCATAAATTAGTTAACAAATTGAATGATAAAAATAAACGCAAAACCCTTTAAAAGCATAATTCACTAAAAATGTTGAATTAATAGTAAAACTCATTTAAAAACGTGTTTTAAAAACAAAACTCAGTTAAAAATATCACTTAAAGCGTAAAAATACAATTAAAAATGCTTTTAAAAAGTAATTAAATTATTTAAAATTGCATTAAAATAAGTCATTTATCGATCGCATACTCGTCCGGATAGGGAGGCGATGGAAAGTCTAGCGAATCGCACTCGTATGCGGCCAACGTTACCGACGCTATGTGTGGGCCCTAAACATGAATAGAAAAATTTAATTAAATTTAACAATAATTTTAATCAATAAAGAAAATCTCAGACATTGTTAACAAAACCTAAAAATAAGTGCATTTAAAAAGCACTTCAAATAATGGCATTCAAAAACATTAATGCCTTAATTAATTGTTAAAAACTTTTGGCATAATTTCAATAATTATATCAAACAAGCGATGCATTCATTAATCGCTTTAATCTCTCATTAAAAAGTATTTTAATCCTTTATCCCACGAATTAAACTACAAAACTTCAAACACTCAAACAAATCCCTAAAAATAGACATAAAAAACACATTAAAAATACAATAAAACACTCACTAAATACAGCAAAAACGTGTGCAAACCGGTGCCCAGGCCTACGCTGGACAGTATGCCGAGTCCGCACCAATAGGCGCACCACAGGAACTGTTTGCGAAACACGTGTACCCATTGCTG